GGGCGGCAAGCGCTTGAGGACGCTGTTCAGACACGCAGCTCGATGCAGCAGGAGATCCCGTTTCGATTGCATGGGATGTGTAGGGAGGCAGAGGGGAGTTCGAAGGTTGAGGGGGGGGATACGGAGGGATGCGGAGGGAGGCGGAGGTGGGTTCGTCGGTGGAGGGAGGGGTAGGGAGGTCGACGGAGGGACGGCAATTTGAAGATGAGGAGTTGGCGGAAGGACGATGAGCGCGGCGGCAAAACGGACGAGGAGGTGGGCGAGGATGCCCAGAAAAAGAGGGGGCGAGCCAATGAGCGCGAGGGAAATACAACGCGGCCCTAGACGCCCGCCGAAGTGGTTCCAGAATATCGCACCCGTCGCCCTCGCCGTCGTCAAAAAATACGGTTGCCAAAAAGATGTTCGCAAAGAGGAGGGGGGGCCCTGGGCACGGGGAAGGAGGGAAAGGATGCGCTGAGGGTCCCCCGAGAATTCGCACCAGAAGCAACGTGTCACCAGACCAGTTCCAGAAAGGAAAAGGCGTCGGAGGCGGGCGCGACAAGGACCGCGAGGAGCAGGATCCTGGCGGAGAGGACCGCCAGGGCGGCAGAGGAGGCGGCGAGGGCGAGGGCGCTGTTCCCGAGGGCGACGGCCCGTCTGGGCCGAAAAGAGTTCGACGAGGGCCTTCAAAACGACGGGGCTGGCTCCGACGGGGTTGGATCTTCGCCCATGGGTTCGAGTCGGATCCGAGCGACGGCCTCTCCACTCTACTCCTCGTCCTCTTCCCCCTCCTCCTCCTCCTCGGCCCGTCCCACCAGCTTAGCCGATCCCCATTCCCATCCCCATCCCCTTCGAGACCCCCACCATGTTACCCCCTTTGGGGATGCACCCCTCGAAACTCGAAGGGAACAGCCTACATCTCCATCTGTGGGAACTCGGCCAGCGGCGCCCATGCCGCGCCGCTGGGGGCGGGGACCGGTTGCGCGATATTCACTCTCGGCGGCCGCGCGCGAACCCCGCCCCCACTCCCCGCGATTTCTAAGGTGCATGGGGGTGGGGGGGCATTTCGTTCGGGGGGCCCCTCGAACCCCGAATCTCCTTAGGAATCGCGGGGGGGCGGGGGTAGGGTTCACGCGTGGCCACCTTTCGTGGGTGGAGGGGGAGGGGGGCGGCGTCGCGACGCCCCCGCCGAAGGCGACGATCTCACTTCGATTACGACCAGGAGCTGAAGCTGGCCTGCCGCGCGCAGCGGACGCCGGGCAACAAGTACAAAGAGCACTGCGAGTGCATGTGCCCCCCGAGAATGCGAAGATGACCGACCCGATGGTCGCGAGGTGGTCCGACGGGTACACGCGTTCGGTACCGCAGGCTTGCGATCCTCTTGCTATTCTTCCTCCTCCTCCTCCTCGGACCCATCCTCCTCCTCCTCCTCCTCCTCCTCGATCCTCCCTCGTCCTCCTCCTCCTCCTCGTCCTCCTCCTCCTCCTCGATCCTGCCCCGTCGCAGGCCATCGTCGCGACGTTCATCGCGACCCCGGCTGCGGCCGCGGCAGCAGCAGCAGCCCCAGCAGAACGAGCAGCACCAGCAGAAGGGGGCAGCAACATCAGCAGCAGCAGCAGCATCAGCATCATAAGCAGCAGCAGACGGAGCCGCTGAGAGCGCGCAGACCTCCAACGGCAAGGGCAAGGGCAAGAGACAGGGCAAGCAGGGCAAAGGCAAGGGCAGATATCACGAACAACCAACAGCAACAGCAGCAGCAGCAGCCGCAGCAGAACCAGCAGCAGCACGCGGAGCCGCTGAGCACGACACCTCCAAGGGCAAGGGCAACGGCAACGCCAAGGGCAAGAAGGCCAGCGCGCAGGTGGCAGGCATCGGGCTGGTGAACATCAAGACTGACGAGTTCCACATGCAGACCTCGTTCAAGAACAACAACTATCATGGCAAGCCACCGCAGCGCCTGGCCAGGATCACGATGGACGGCTGGCAAGTGCTGCAGATGGACGCGCAGGGCCCGAGGGTCTGCAGATACTGGAGCGAGGGAGGAGGAAGAGGTGGGGGGGGGAACGAAGGAGGAGAGAGAGAGTGAGGGAGGAATGAGGACTCGGATGAGGAAGATCATGACGAGGATGACGATGGGGATGATGAGGCGAGGGTGATGATGCTGATGCTGATCATGCTGATGATGCTGATGATGGTGATGCTGATGATGCTGATGGTGCTGATGATGATGATTATGCCGAGGGGGGGGGCGGAGGATGAGGACGAGGACGAGAATGCGGATGGCGATGATTGATGATGTATGATGATGATGATGATGATGATGATGGTGGTGCTTGAGGAGGAGAGGAGGAGGAGGAGGAGGAGGAGGAGGAGGAGGAGGGGGGGGACAGAGGGGGAGGGGGATGAGAAGGATGTAGGGGAGGACGAGGAGGAGGGGGATGAGGAGGAGGGATGGGGGAGGAGTGAGGGAGGGGAAGCAGGAGGAGGAGTAGGAGGGCGAGGAGGCGGGGGAGGAGGAGGAGGGGGGGGGGGGGATTTCCCTGCAAGGACTTTGCCGAGGATATCAAGGCAGGAGAGCCGCTGGCGATGGCGTGGCGCAACGACATCGCGCGTCGCTTGGCATGCGGCGCGCTGGCCAAGGACGCAGCCCTGGAGGAGAAGCGCGCGCAGGGCCTGAACAGCACCAGAGGCGCGCGACATCGCGGGGGAGGAGCCGAGTGGTCAAAGCCTCCACGTCCTCAAATCATCCCCCGCCCTCCTCGGCTTTCTCCTCCTCGCCTTCTCTTCCTCCTCATCCTCCTTGGGTTCGGCCGACAAGCAGCCCGCGGTTGTTGTATTTCTTGCAGGGCTCGACGACAGCCCATCGACGAATTGGCCCCTCTGTTGAGGGGCGCGGATTACCCGCGCCCCTCAACAGAGAGGCCGCCATGCGTAGAGCCAGGGACTCGACGCCCCCCCCAAACAAACACAAAAAAACACTTCAAAGAAACACGACGAAACCAGAGGAGTACATGAGCGACCTGCTGCTGCGGCCAAGACCGATCTCGAGCCCGCGAAGGCCCCGAAGACTGAGGCAGGCGACGACGAGCAGGGGCAGCCGCAGCAGAACGTGTCCGAGGGCAACGGCGACCAGGCCACGACCAAGTGCGAGAACGTGTCCGAGGGCAACGGCGACGGTGACCAGGCCACGACCGAGTGCGAGAAGGTCGGGGACGGCCACGACGGGGAGGCCCAGACCGACGGCGACAGCGGGAACGGCGGCGAGGCGGACGACGACCAGGCCACGACCGAGTGCGAGAAGCCCCTGGTCATGGCCCCCGCGCAGGTGATCAGCAAGACCCCCGTCGGCCACGTCCCCGCGCAGGTGATCAGCAAGACCCCCGTCGGTGGCCCCGTGAAGGTGATTGGCGGCGCTGCCCCCGTGACTCCCCAGCCTAAGTGGGGGGGGGGCGCGTCGCCGCAGCATAAGCCTGCGCTCCCAGAAGTCGCCCGATGGCCCCTCGTTTTCGCACGACATGTAGGGGCCGATTTCAGAGTCTCGAGTAGTCCGTGAGGACTACGGCACGCCTGTTTACAGGCGACGGATGTCGAGACTGATGGGGAGGGCCCAGCAAAAAGCCTGAAGCGAGCTCTCCTGCCTTCCAAAACTCTGACAACAGCCCCCTGCCTTCTAGCAACAGCCCAGCCCCATGTAAATATAAGGAAGGTGGCCTTTCGGAATGTCCTGCCCATGGGGATGCAACGATCGGGGCCCCAGTGGAGTTCCTGCCCCTCCGCCTCCGTTCCTGCCCCCTCCGCTCCTGCTCCTCCCCCCTCCGATCCTGCCCATCACCGTCCTCCCTCCCCGACCTTCGGGCGCCGCCTCCATCTGCTGGGGCCCCTCCCTCCGCGTGTTTTTTCGGTTCCAGGTCCACCCGAACCGAACCAACCCAGAAAACCAATTTCACTCGTCTTGAAAGCCATTTCGCCACCGAGTGTTTCGGGGCGACTTTGTGATTCCAACCCTGAGCCCGAACATCTCCCACGCTCGCGAAGCTCATGTCGGGGGCTGCTGGCAGCGAGAGGGATCTGCAGCAGGCCCCGCGCGGAACTTGGTGGGCGCGCCCGTCCCAGCCCACTCGAGGGCAACCCCCCTCTCTTCCTCTCCCCCGTTTCCTCTTCCTCCACCCTCTTCCTCCACCTTCCTCCACCCTCCCTTCTCAACCCTCCCTTCTCCGCCCTCCCTCCTCCGCCCTCCCTCCTCCACTCCTTTCTGCCGGAACTCCCATCCATTTTTTTCGGCGCCGCCCGATGCCGTTGCCCAGGCTGCCAGCGCAGCGCGCGAGAACGACTTCGACGAGGCTGTGCGCAGGGGCCTGCTGACGCAGAGCACCTCCCGCGCGCAGGGCGGCTATCCGCAACGGAGGGGGGGGAGGGGGGGGGGGGGGGGGGGGAGGGGCGATGAGGGGGAGGGGGGGGGGGGGGAGGAGGAGGCGGAGAGGAGATGGGAAGGGGGGGGAAGGACGAGGAGGAGAGGAGGAGGAGGAGGAGGGCGGAGGAGGAGGAGGAGGAGTAGGGGGGATGAGGGGGGATTCAGTTTTCTTTTCTTCGATCCCTCGCATGTATAATGGCAGCGGTCCTCCGGAGGATCGCGAGACACCACGTGTGTTCGTCGCCCTTCCTGATCCCATTTGTCTTTGTCTCTGTTGCTCCGAATGTCGTACTAAAGGGGGCGGGGGGAGGGGGGTCTCATTTCGGGGGGGGGGTCTCTTCCAGGCTATCTTGGAGGGCCTGGGGGGGGTCTGGGGACGATGTTTTGGAGGGTTCTCCCACGGGGGGGGGGGGGGTCTGAAATGGCTTGTCTTGGAGGGTCCAGACCCCCTCCCTTTTATTGCGAAATCTGGAGTACCCTTCCTTCCGAAGCCTCCCCAGGGCGACGGCTTCGCCGGCAGCGGCCGCTTCCTCGCGCTGCCGCCCCAGCAGCCGCCGACGATCAGCGTCGAGGACAGCCCGCCAGTCGACTGGGAAGCTGTCCTGCAGAGGCAGCCCCCTCGCTCGACCCAGACTTATGTGGAGGCCCAGACGTTCCGCAGCTCCCGGCCGACAGCCTCGGGCAGTTCATCGATCGGTGCGCGGACCTCAACGCCGTCGGCCCTTCGAACGACATGCGCCCTCCGACGCAGCAGCGGTGGGGGAATTGGGTGCGCCGCCAACCCGACCTCGCGCCGCGCGAGACGGAGGGCCTGCTGGGCGACGACGCTGCCGCCCTGCAGCCAGCAGCGTCGGTTCTGCCTGACCGCGCCCCCGCCGAGGCGCCCTCTGCCCCCAGCGCAGGCGCTGAGGTCGCCACGGCGGCGCCCGCCGGAGCTTCGCAGCCAGCGCAGCTCGCCGCAGTGCGTGAGTTGGGCGACTGGGACATGGAGCCCAACTCGGCGCCCGCCACTCAGGTCGCGGTCGAGGCGCGGGCGGGGCCGACGCCGTGCGGGCCGAGGGGGGCGCCTGCCGTCGCCCCCCAGGCCGCTGGGCAGGGCGCGGTCGAGGCGCTGGTGGGGCCGACGCCGTGCGGGCCAAGGGGGGCGCCCGCCGTCGCCCCCCAGGCCGCTGGGCAAGGCGCGGCGCCCACCGTCGTCGCGGAGGTCGGCGACTCCGTGCCCGCCGAGCAGCAGCATTCGCAGGCGCCAGACCGTCAGCCTGAGACCCCGCCGTCCCCGTTTCAGCCGCAGTCGATTGACGTCGACGCGCCGATCGCGCCTTTCGAAGGGCAGTTGCCCATCAGCAGCTTCGAACACTAGATGACTGAGATGTTCGAGACGAAGTTCCAGGGCCAACAGATGACTGCGCAGGAGCTGGCGAAGAGCGAGGAGGTCATCGATGATACGGTCTTGGAGGCGCGCAACAAATCAGGATTCGAGGTCGCAGCTCGGAGCACCTTGGGGAGACGGCTCGTTCGCTGGCTGGCGGCCAACGGCAAGGGCGACGAATGCGGGAAGCTCTCCAGGGCAGAGAAGGACAAGCGCAGGCGCGAGTTGGCTCAGGAGTCCTACGCGGAGCAGGTTACGAAGCGGTCCAGGATCGCGAGGGACTCCGAGACGGACATCAAGCTCTGCAAGATGATGAATTCGGATCAATTAATCCAGGCGGAGGGCGGACGCCGCAGCCCGACCGCAGTTCGCGGAGCCCATGAGATAGTTAAATCGTGTTTGCAGCGCGGCATCGGATGGGTCAGCATCGACCAATACAGCAAGAGGATCATGTTTCGCCACGTCTCCCAAGAGACGCGCCAGGAGTCCTCCGACATCTGGGAGAGGGCGACAGAGGATTTCAATCTGTCCAAGTCGGGGGTTTCGCCAGCGCTGATCGAGGCGCACAATAGGGCCATCGTGCAGTTCGGCAAGCCCGCGGCAACTTCCCCGCCGCGGTCCACGATGCCATCGCCGCGGGCCCAGCTCCGAGGGTGGCGCAGCATGCGGCGGGCGCTGCCGCCGCGCCAGATGGCACTGCAGCAGTAGCCCCAGCGGCCCCAGCAGCCCCAGCAGCCCCAGCGGCCGAGCGCCCTCCAGCACCGCCAGCACAGGAGACGCCGCCGCCCAAGGCAGGAAGCGCCGCTGTCCAGGACACGCCCTTGAATGGAGGGCCAGCAGGAGCGGCCGCGGGCGCTGCAGCCGCGGGCGGCCGCCAGCGGCGCGGCGGCGGCGGGCAGCGGCGGCGGCGGCTGCCAGCAGTGGGCGCCGCGGCAGTGGTGCAGCTCCTGGAGGCAGAGGTACCGAGCAGGCAACCCAGAAGCCTTCAGGAAATTCCAGGGGCCTCGAGAAGCAAGCGATCCAGTGCAGCGGCCTGTACACGTCTGCCTGCGTGCAAGCGAGGCGAGCACTCTCGCCCCCTTGCTATCCTCCTGCTCCTCCACCTCCTCCTCCACCTTCTCCTCCCTCCTCCTCATCCTCCTCCTCTTCCTCCTGCTCCTCCTCCTCCTCCTCCTCCTCTTCCTCCTTCCTGCTGCCCCGCCACGTCCTCCTCCTCCTCCTAACCCTCATCCTCGTCCGCGTCCTCGTCCTCATCCTCATCATCATCCTCAGCTTCGTCCTCATCATCATCATCCTCATACTCGACCTCATCCTCAACCTCAACCATCCCCCTCATCATCATCATTATCATTATCATAATCAGCATCATCATCATCACCAGCAGCATCAGCATCAACATCATCAGCGGCAACATCAGCATCGGCAGCAGCAGCATCATCATCATCGGCGACAGCAACGCCCTCTCCCTCGTCTTCCTCATCTTCCTCCTCCTCTTGCTCCTCCTCCCGATCCTCTTTCGAGCCCTCCTCCTCGCCATCATTCTCGCTCCCATCCCGCCGAGGGTCGTCGCCGCGGACGTCGACCGCGCGGGCAGCGGCCTGGATTACCAGAAGTTCGGGGAGCCCTGGAGATATGCCTGGGGGGGGGGGGGGGGGGGAGGCCGCCGCGACCAGTTGCCAGCGCATGCAGAGCATTGCTTATGTTTGGAGCCCCAGCCCTCAAATCTGAGACGGAAGAGGCTGAACTCTCGATGGCGTTCGGGCAGTTAGTATCCCAGAGGGCCAAGATCGATGCACATTGGAAGAACTGAAATGGTCTGCGGCGATGCTCGACATGGGGTCACGGATTGGGACTCGCGCGAAAAGAGCAACGCAACGATTCGAAAGGATGGGGGGGGGGGGGGGGGGGGGGGGGGCAGACGGGATGCACGCACATTGCATGGCGACATGGGAAGGGGAACGCGCACATTGCTCGAGCGGCGTATGTGTCTGGTGCCTCTTTTCCCAGATCATCCTGTGGTGTTGGGTCCTTGTTTTGAAGGTGCGGTCCCCGCGTTCCTCCTTTCCTCTCCTCTCCTCCTCCTCGCTCCCCTTCCTCCTCTCATCAACCCCTCACTTTGGCGCGCTCATCGCATGTTTCGTGGCCCCATAGTGAGTTCCACCTAGCGCCCTAATGGCGCAGTCCGCATGGCGGCGCCGCCCCACTCTGGCGCGCCCATCACGCGTTTCGTGGCCCGTGGGAGCCCCGCCGAAGGTCCCAATGGCGCAGTCCGCATGGCGGCGCCGCCCCATTATGGCGCTCCCCTCCCGCGCTTCGTGGCCCCATCGGGAGCTCCACCTGAGGTCGCATTGGCCCGATCCGCATGGCGGCGCCGCCCCATTTGGGCGCACTCCTCACGTGCTTCGTGGCACCTTATGGGGAGCTCCACTTAAGGTCCCAACGGAGCAGTCCGCATGGCGGCGCCGCCGCATTTTGGCATACCCCTCACGCGCTTCGCATGTTCCGTGGCCCCATATGAGGAGCTCTATATAAGGTGACTGGGGCAGTCCACATGGCGGCGCTGCCCCATTTTGGCACACCCCTCGCGCGCTTTGTGGCTCCATAGGGAGCTCCGCCCTGGAGATCAACCGAGTGCGGTACTAACAACGGCGGTATTCACAACTGCATATGGTTGGGCCCTTCGCCGAGCAAATTGTATGTCATGTGCTCCGCGTGTTTATCCCGACTGTTTTCTTTGCGCCAGCTGTCTGCCGCACCTCGCCGAGGGATGGCAATCATGGAGCAACGTGTCGATGCGGGGAGAGCTCTCACTTGATCGCTGCGGCGCCCCCTCAGTATTTTTGTACCGACACGGGGTCGTTGAGCTGATTGCCCGAATATGATGCTAGACCTGCGCTGGGGATCGAGCCAGGAACAACCATGCGTAGATCGATCGAACAAGAGCTGCGTTCAGTTTCTCTTGCAGCAGCGGCGCCTGAGTGGAATATGCGGTGCGCGCAGCTGCTTTTAAGCTCAGCCCAGCTCTCGAGACCGACGTCGGGCGACTGTTTGGGAGCCCCGACCAGGCCCGCATGCGCTCCCCCGAGAGGCCAGCGAATATCAGGTGAATTTGAGGTGAATTTGAGGTGACTTTGAGGTGAATTTGCACCAAACCTTGTTATTTGACAGGAGACGTGGGGGGTGAATATCCGGTGGAATTCTGGTGAATATCCGGTGATTTTGAGGTGACTTTGGGGGGTGCCGAAATGGCATCGGTCAGCCCTTTCATCATGGGCCCTGGGCCCCAATCCCAACCCCCTCCGCGCCCTTTGCGTCCTCCTCCTCAGCCATTCCTCACCCCCCCCTCCCGACAGCGTCCGCGCCCCCCCACCCTTTTCTCTGAGATCAACCGTCCTCTGCAGGGGACGGGATAGGGAGAATGGTTGGGGGGAGTTTCGGAGACGGGGAGCTAGCGGACGCTGCCACAAGTATCCCACAGGCCCTCGAGGGCCGCCATCCCCCTCCTCCTCCAATCCCATCGCCACCTTCCCAGAGGCTTCTGGATCAAGGTCAGGGCGCATTTTGCCCCGTAGTAGACATTAACTGGTCGCCAATGCATGTTAGGAACTCGGGCATGGGACGCTGACCCCCACTCGGCTCGTCGGTGGGAGACTGAGACTTTGCGGGGCGCCCAACATGCAACTGCAGACGCCCAGGGCGAGTGCGGCCGCCTACTGAGCAAGAGCTCCTTACCTTGTATTCGCGAGGTCATCTCTCTGCGAGATCCCTATGCATCATATGTTATTATGCTGTGAACGCTGGCGCTCGAGGCAGTGGCATTGCTAAGTTCCAGAAAGGCTCCGATGCATCGCCTGGCAATTTCCAGAAGCACTTGGGCAAACCAATTCCGATATCTAGCAATGTAGCTTTGCAGCGAGTTGGCCTCCCCATGATCGCCGGGGGCAAGCGGGGGGGCAGAATCGTAGAACTTTGGCGCCCACGTATACATGTATTTTTCGAGGGGGGGGGGGGCGCCCAGCTATCCCAGCTGAAACCTCGTCGTCGCGTTTGGGTTTGGCTCGAAACAACTGGGATAGGCGCGCGCGCGCCGCTCGGGGCCAGGGGGGTCAGGCGCAGGGCAGTCGTGACATCCTTCCCAAAAGGAGAGAAAGGTCCTGATGGCTCCGATCCACGAGTGTCTGGCACGGGGGGGGGGGGGGCAGACCAGCGACGGACAACCAATCCTTTCTCCCCTCCTCCGCCCCCATGGCCCCCGAGCGGGGGCATGCGTACTTGGGAGAGGCGGGGGCAGGGAGAAAGGATGGGACGTCCGTTTTAAGTCTGCCCCCCCGTGAGGTTAGCGAGCTCGAGCTCGACAATCTCGATGAAGGCTCGTCATCCCGCTCTGCCAGACAGTCTGTCTGGCAAAAGGCATCTGAGGAGCATGGGTTTCGACATTTGCCTGGGGGTACCAGGCCAGTTTTTCCTATTGCCATATCTTGCGATGGCGTGAGGTATACCAGAGCAACACAGATAGATAAACATGACACTTTGCTGCACTTCACTTCCCATGACCTCGCATCTGGAAAACGCCATGCAAACATTTGTATTTCAAAGCGTGAGGCCTGCAAATGCGGGCGCAGGGGGTGGTGCACTCTTTACCCCCTGATGGAATTCATCAGGTGGTCGCTGGAGGCGGGGATTCGGGGGGTGCGACCACGCCGTAGTTGGGATGGTTTGAACTATCCAGGGGGCGACCCAATCATGATGCTCCCAGAAAGGCTTCCTGCTAGATTCATACCCATACAGATCAAAGGGGATTGGATGGAACACACTCGTACCATTGGATTTCAGGATTGACAGTCCTTTCGCAAGCCCTGCATTTGGTGTGCGTGCCAGAAGCTTCAATTATCTAGCAAGCCTTCAGGATCCACCCGCCCGACCATCGTTGCGCGGAGACTTGGCAAGATGAGGGCGGGGGGGGCATTCCTCCACTCCTCCTGCTGCTACTACTTCTACGTATGCTTATACGTCTACGGGTGCTACTGCTACTACTACTACTACTACTACTACTACCACTACTACTAATACTACTACTACTCCTACTACTACTACTACTACTGCTGCTACTACGAGACTACGACGACGACGACGACGACTACTACTACTACTACTACGAGACTACTACTACGACGACTACTACTACTACTACTACTACGATTACGATTACCACTTCTTCTATTACGACTGCTACTACTACTTCTACTGCTAGTACTGCTGCTGCTACTGCTACTACTACGACTACTACTACTACTACCACTACTACTAGTAGTACTACGACTCTGACTATTTCAACTACGACGACGACCGCTACTGCTACTACTACTACGACTACTACTACTACTGCTGCTACTACTACTACTGCTGCTACGATACTACGACTACTACTATTACTACTACTACTACTACGAGACTACGGCTACGACTGCGACGACGACGGCTTCTACTACTACTACTACTACTACTACGACTACGGCGACGACGACGACGACGACTACTACGACGACTACTACGACTACTCTACTAATACTACTACTACT